TTTTTCTGGGTTTGTCCCCACTCAGCAGTATGTTTGTGGGAAAACACTCATGTGAATAGAGTCCAGGTTTGCAGGGCAGATGCACCTCTGGACCAGGTCTCACAGGCTCACACAATGGGATGTCTTATTTTTGTTCAGTCCTGCAGAGTAAAACCTTTATGTATGTAAGGATAGGTAATCTAAGTCTTTTTTTGTCTCCTGTCGCATGTATCCAATATAGACATGACACCACTGCTATTTTATTACTGGTTTGCTTTTATGGTAAATGGATTGTATAGAGAGTTTCAGTGCCTTGATGACTTGAGGAATTCACCTTATTAAAATAGTCAGTTAAAAATGACCCCACTGTATCTTCAGAGAAAGAAAGGGATGGATTAGATGAATACTGATAGTTTTAGAGTGGCGTTTAGATGCCATGTTTGATTATATACTATCATAGATGCACACAGTGGCTTTCACCTAAGGCAGTGTGATCTATTCTGGTAAAAGCAACCCTCAGAGGTGTCATCATGCTCAGAGGGGTTGCCTTTGTGGGTAGACTTACGGAGGCTGAATGCACACAGGCACTTGCTTTGGGAGTCAGAAAGCCTTCTATTTCTTTTGAACCATTTATGTACTGTGTTGCCTTCATGTCTTCTCATCTATAAAATAGGATTATATGATTACCATGGAACCTACCATGTAGAATTGTTAGTGAAGTAAATGAGAAATGGATCCATAATTTTGAAGACTGATGCCTGGTGCATAGTGGATACTCATTGAAAGTTGACTATTATGTTAACTGTTAGTTTTTAAAAATAACTTTTACTACCCCCCCACCCTTTGTCGTGACGCTCAACCAGATTAAACAATTTGCTCAAAATTTCAGTTGGCAGAGGTTAAGAATTTAGAGGAGCTTATCAACTGTATCCCTTTTTTACTAAGTTCCAGCTTAGTATTGGAACTACCTGAAAGAAAAATAGGAGAGAGAAGAAAAGCCAGTTGGAGAACCTGGCTTTAGATTTATAGCCAAATATAGGTGGAGTACAGGCCAGGACACCTGGTCCCTGATCTCTGGTGATCTGAGGACAGGGGAAGAAAGGGCAGCCTCTTAGTCCCTGCTCCAGATCACACATCAGGTAAGACACTCTTCTTCCTGGGAAGAGTGAGGAAAGCTTAGGAGATAGGCAGGAGCATTTGTGCAACTGAGGTTCTACCACACAGAGCACAAGGAGTGGATGGTGAGGACTTCCTTCTACAGAAAGAGGCAAAGCAGGGACTGCAACCCAAGAATGGTGGCCAGCCCCATGACTTCCTAGTCAGCTTTCTTGTCTGCCCTAACTTGCCCAAACCCACAGTCTTTTGCCAGAGCTCCTCCTCTGCCTTCGATCCATCCTAAGCTAAAGGGTGAGTGGAGATCCACTCAGTGTGGGGAGTGGTCCTGGACGTTGCTTTCCTGACTTCTTTAAACCGCGCTTTGAGTGGCTTGATGACTGACGCTAAACAAATTGATCAGTGTTCCTGCCACTCATTCTGACCATCCTGTTCTTCTTGGACCTTCCTCTTAGCTTGCTCACAGCCTGGCTGATTCTGAGCCTTCTGTGTTGTAAAGCACAGAGAACGGGAGCTGACGTCGGAGGAGACGCCTTCTCATCAGTGAAGACACACCTTTCTCGCAGGTCTGTCGATAGCCAGTGTAGATAAAAAATAAACATAAACATTTTAATAGAAAAATTTAAATCGACATGTACAGATCCTTCCACATGAAGCCCAGCATGTATTTCTGTGAAGAAAGACTTAGCTGATACAGTATAAATAACATTACCTTTGAGTTACATAGACTTGTGATCAGTCCCAGTTCTGTCACTTATTGCCCCTGTGACTTTGCATGGGTCTAGCTTCCACATTTACTAAGTGGGTTGCAGTAGTGTTTAAGTGATAGGATTGTGGTGGTGGTGGAAATGACGTGGTGAGCAGTGTATGCATTGCCTAGCAATGTGGCTGGTGCTCAGTTGGGGGAAATCAAGTATGTAGGGCATGGTGGATTGTAGATGCCTGCTGTTGCTTTCCCAGCTCCCAGTCATCGTCCTTGTGAATAAGGTACTGCAGAACTCTAGCCTGGTACTTAGACTGCCTGGGTTCTATCCAGCCTTCAGCGTGTGTGTCCCTGAGCAATGGCGTCTCCTGTCTGTGACTCAGTTGTCTCACCTGTAGAACTGGCATAATATCGCCTCTCAAAGGTCGCTGGGGGATTGTAGGAGAGGCTCTCAGTAGATGTGTTCATTTCTTACTGTCATTATAACAAGTCACCGCCAACTTGTGGTTTAAAACAATACATATTTGTTATCTTACAGTTCTGTAGGTCAGATGTCCAAAATAGGACTCCTTGGGCAAAATGAGGGTGTCATCAGGACTATGCTTCTTCTATAGGCCTGAAGGGGAGGATCCTTTCCCGTACCCTTCCCACTTAGAGGCTGCCCTGATTCCTTGGCTCACTTCCTCTACATGCAAAGCTAGAGCATTGGATTCAATGTCTTTTCTGCCTCCTGTATTTAAGGACCCTTATGATTACATTGGGCTTTCCCCTATAATCTAGGGTAATCTTTCTATTGTAAAGTCACCTAACCAGCAACCTTCACCTACTACTTAAGTTCCTCTTTACCATGTCACATATGATTCCAAGGATTAGGGATTGTACGCCTTCTGAGACAAGAGAGTGCTGGAAAAGCATTACCTTGCAGGCCCAGGGTTGTACCTGGAAGTATCTGTATTCAACATTTAGGAAGAGTTTCGAAGGCTCTGCTGTGGACTAGGACTGTGCCCACAGGATCTGGGAAAGGAAAGCAGGTTTCCTCCCCTCTGGGAGCTTTCAGTTTGCTGAAGGGAAATCAGTCCATCCCTAGCCACGGTGCCACCAGGAAGGAATAGGTGCCGAAATGTGTACTCATGCAGCTGCGGTGAGAGAAAAAGAGACTCTTGAGCAGCAAGGAGGAGTGGCCAGCTCAGGAAAGAATGGTGCATAGGGCATTGGGAGGGTGGGCTTGCCCATAATGGCAAATTTTGGGACTAGGGAGTGTGGCAAATTTTGGGACTCTACTAGGGAGTGTGGCAGAGACCAAGGCAACTTAGGACTTTGGGGCTGCATTGTGAAGGGCATTGAATGTTGTATTTGGGAGTTTGAACTTGTTCCCACTAGTTAAGCCCTGAGATTATACATTGGTGGCCCTTTGGCAAATCAGCCAGCAGAACTATGTCCTTCTACTGTATTGTATTCTAAAACCAGAATCTCTTGACGGAATCATGCATATGATTCATTGGAACCTTGCTTGCACATTTCTTACATTTTTTTCCCCCGATAGACTTAAAAGTCAGGTTTCATGATGCAGCTTAAGTGGGAAAATGGGAGAGGAATATGAGGAGGGCAGCTGTAGTGACTGAGAACACACTGAATTGGGACTTAACAGTCCTGAGCTTGAGTCTGAGCTCTGCCACATACCCAGTGTGTGACCTTGAACAAGTTGGTTAGCTTCTGTGAGGTTCCCTTTCCCAAAGTGACTGCTGAGAACAGTGGGAGTCAATGCACACAACAGGGCCCTTGGGAAAAGAGAGACTACGAATGTGAAAGTGCCAGTCAGTGCTGTGTTCTCACTCAATCATTGTTAAATGGATGAATATTGTAGCCATACTTTTTGGGGTTTTTTTGACTCATGCTTTTAAATGCCTTAGGGTACCTTTCGGAACTGAATTTATAATCCTAGTCTAGGCCATTTGGAAACTTTAACTGAACCCCTCTGGCCTATCTCCAGACAAATGCAGAATGTCTCTCTTATGTGATAAGTTCTGCTTTGTATTCAGACATACACTCGTTCCACAAATGTTTACTGATCATGTTCTGAGCTTCTTGTGCTCACACTGTAGGGACTGCTTTGCAGACCTCCTTGCATAGTTCTTAACGTCACTGCCAGAGAAGCCTGGATGTAAAACTTAAGTCAGGGTACATGACCGGGTGTAACTGCGTGCAAGTGGGTGGTAAGCAGGAGTCCTTTTAAGTTCAGAGCAAAGTGAAAATTAGCCTAAGTTGGCCTTGACAGAAAAACTTTATGGACAGATGAAAGTTGAGGCCTTTCAAGGCTGAACTATGTGTGCCTGGCAAGAGTACAGAGGGCGGGAATGGAAGCTGGATTCTGGTCGGAGGACAGAATCGGGCTGGTTAATCACTCCCTCGTCCTCTTACCTCTCATGACTATGACCTGAGGTTTCTTTCTACCTCTGTTTATTTATTGAATTTTGAATCCCTTGCTCCACTCAGTGTCTAACATGCAGATGCTTTACAGTAGGCTTTTTCATACTCGAAGTCAGCCATCGCGCGAACAAGCTTTGTACCTGTGCCATTGTGCTCATCCATGGAAGCAGACCACAGGGAGGGTGGAGATTTAGTGTACAAAAGGAAACCATTCCCCTGAGTCCTTCCTCTAACTCTGCTGCTCTCATGGGCTGAAGCACCCATATCTTCAGCCTTAGGATCCATCCCCTAGAATGCTTGAAAAGGAATACTTGTCTGCAAATTTTAGCTAGAAGACCACAGGAAAGGAGTTGAGCTTTATTGAGCGCATGCTGTGTAGTTACTGGAGGTGCCTTGTCTCACTCCTTACAGATCTCCTGTTCCTAACATCAAATCATAACAGGTAGAGGTATAGAAGGAACAGTCGGTAAGAGACCTAGGCCCAGGAGTATTAACAAGTTAGTGACCACATGAGAGTCTAAAACCAAAGTTGTGAAACAGGTGTGGTGGTTCCTGCCTGTGATCCTGACACTCAGGAGGCTAAGGCAAGAGGACTGAGGATTCAAAGCCAACTTGGGCTACATAGCAAGACCCTGTCTCAAAACAAACAAATAAAAAAATTAAAACCATAGTTTTTAGTTTCAAAATGTTTCTGCAGCCTGCATTTCATTCCCTGTTACTTTGAAGTGTATTGCAGTCATTCTTTGTACGTTATGTAAACTTTCTTTTTTCATTCTAGATTTCTCACATTGGCAAACTGAGAGACTTTCTTCTGGAACACAGGAAGGATTATATCAATGCATACAGGTAAGTGCCTATTTTTTACCATGACTTTGGTGACTGTGTCCCTTTCTATATATACGGGTATTCCTTTTACTTAACTCAGAGCTGTAATAGGGAAGGTCAGGTCAGGTTGACAGTGGAAGAACATCTGCCAAGTGGAGCAGCAACCAGAGCCGGGGCAGGTCCCAAAGCTATGCTATCACAGCAGCAGTGTCTCCGGGCCTGTCTGTCTGAAGGTTCCCTTATCTCCTAGCAGATGGCACGTACTCCCTTAATATGACAGAGCAGCACATGAAGTTGGGACATGTTTGTCTCTCCTGAGCCTGTGAAGAAAGTGTTCAAGTCTCTGCTGGACTATGTTTGCCATGTCTTGCTGTCCCAGTCCATAACACTGGCTTTCTGTTTTGGAGGTATTCCCACAAGCATATTTCCATCACTGAGTCATGCCTTCCTTGCTAGTTCTCAGTTCTGAGGGCCATCTTTTGTCCTCTCAGGCTTTTGACACTTCCTAGAAACAGACAAGCCCACTTTGGCTTGACCTTTGTTTCTTAGGATACTCTTAATGAGTCCTATTATTCATCCCCTAACGTAACTCATGGTCCTATTCCTCCTAGTGACTCGGTCCTGTTTCTACTCTGTAGCCAACATCAGTTGGATTATGTCACTTCCTGAGTAGACCCACCACAAATACCCATTGTGTCAGCCTCAACTGTGGCCTCCACACCATGGCTTCCCCTCTGAGAATCTGGCCTCATTTCAAACCCCACCCCACCCCAGGCTCCCGTCCTCAGGGTGCTCCGCCATGTTGGCCTTCCTGGAAGGCTCCAGGCTCTCTCCCACTGCAGGGCTCTTCTCCCTTGTCCCATGGTGCTCTCCTTTTCACACTTCCACACTCAACTTTAGTACTGTGTCTTCTCAGAAGTCTTCTCTAGTAACTATTAGCAAAATAGATCTCTTCTGCTAAGTTTTTGGTTTTTGTTTCTTTATCCTGTTTTCTTCATAATGTGATGAATAGCAATAATAATAAGTTCTTAGTTTACTTTCTGTTTCTGTCACCAGTTTGCATGTTTCATATACCTTGTCAGCTTTTCATTCTTGTTCCATCGTGTCTCACCCATGTATCGCATCCAGTAAATATTTGTCAAGTGAATAAATGAGTGATTCCCTCATAGTCCTAAAGTTCACGACTAACCATTTTGTCCCTCAGTGGACATATGGCAACATCTGAAGACATGTTTCCTTGTCCCTGCAGGGAAGAGCAGTGTGATTGGCATGTAGTAGGTAGAGGCCAGGATTGTGCCATGCCTCCACTTATGCACAGGACAGCTCTCCACAATGGAGAGTTAATCTAGTCCAAATTGTCAGTTGACCTTGAGGACCTCTACTTCAGCCTAAGCTGCTGCTCTCTGCATGTTAACTTAGTCATCACCCATTTGCTGAAAGCCTGCTCAGTGCTTGGTGTGATTCTCCATCCTTAGAGCAATCTGAAAGTAAAGCAGACCAACCTTCCTGCCCTTGTGGAGCTTGCGTTCTGGTGGGGTGATAAACACCAGCACTGAAGTTAAGGTACCACAGGTGGTTGGTTCTGTGGAAGAAAGAAAGTAGAACAAGGCCATAGGGATGGTGGTGCCAGGAGAGGTTTGCAATTTTTTCATAGAGTAGTCAGAATGGCCCCCTTGAGATGGCTTCCTCACCCACTCCTCTGTGAAGTTCAGAGCCCTCTGGTGGGAGTTCTCTCACCCTGCCTCACCTCTTCCTCCATCCCACCCCTGTAGAGAAGTAGGTTCTCCCCCGTTTTGAAGGTTGACTGTGTTGCCCGCATTCTGTCTCACTGCTCCCACTGCTCCTGAAGTACTGCTGCCCTCAGGACTCCTTAGACTTTGAGCATCAGCCTCTTTTCTTCCCTTCGACTTACGGGCTGACCTTGCCTCCTCCTTCAGCCACATGCACTGTCACTTGCTTTGTTCCACTTCACTGCCAGAGGGCGGGCTCTGCCAGCCTTCTGCAAAGGGCCAGATGGTTGTGGTCCAGGCTTGTGGGTCAAGTATGTCATGTTTTTCTTTGTTTTGTTGAAAATGTAAAAACCATTCTTAGTTCTCCGAACCAAGCCTAAGGGCTGAATTTAACTTGCAGGTATAGTTGCTGATCCCAGTGTGACCCTCTGCTTCCCCACCTTTCCCTCTGCCTGAATACCATAAGGAGACCCCCTTTCCAATACTTTCTGCCCCAGCTTACCTCTGACTTCCTAATCACCAAATCCAGGGGCTTTCTCCTAAACCGAATGTGTGTCTACCCTCTTCCACACATTTGTTTTATTTTTTGTAATATTCCATTGTGCTAAATTACTATAATCTGTTTACTCATTTAAATATTAGGGGAAGTTGGGTTGCTTACAGTTTAGAACTGATGAGTAGAGCTTCTGTGAGTGATCTCCTTCTGTAAGTCTTTCTGTACTTACCAGCTACTCACTTCCCTTGAATAACTTACCCATGTGTGAGGCTGTGGGTCATACGTGTGGAAAATGTGTGCACGGCTTTAACATAAACTGCTGAGCAGAAGACTAGCAGCATAGTGGATAATGCTTCTGACTGCATCAGAAAATTCCAAAATGAATTATCACACAATTTTTGTAAATGATTTACACAGCTAGTACTAAAGTCGGATGCAGCAGCTCCACTCCCTTGCCAGCATTTGGTCTGGATAGTCCTTTTGATTTTGACCATTTGAAATAAAGTGTGGAGTAGGGTCTCATTATGTTTTAAACTGGTCTTTTTCTAATGATAATAACACCAAATGCTGCAGTGGCCTTCTCTCAGCTCTTCTGCTTTGCTAAAGCTTTGATGCTGTTACCACCATAAGTTTCTTGAAATGTCATGCTCCTGTGACTTCTGTTGTAGCACAGTTGTAGCTGGTCTCCAGGGGATTGGTTCCAGGACCCCAAGGAAACCCACTCCATGGGTGCTCAAGTTCCTATATAAAGTGGTGTAGTTTGCATCAGTGCCCAGTACACTGTGACCACTGTGTGTGTGGCTTACACAGTTGTTACTCTGTCTTACCTGGGAAATGACCAGAAAAGAGTCCTTACGAGTTCAGTACATATGGTTATTTTTTGTTGAATCCTCCCTTGTGAATACATATTTGAATTTAGAGAACCAACTGTATTTTTCAACTCCTGACTATTCCATTTTTTGCCTCTTTGTCCTTCATCTGCCCCATACAAATGCTAGGGTTCTGTTGGTCCTTTTGCCTTATTTATCTCTACTTGAATTTTAAAAAAAATACTACTGTTGTTGTTTTAATCAGTTTTTTTGTACCTGTGACAAATACCTGAAAGAACAACTTAAAAGAAATAAAGATTTATTTTGGCTCAGGGTTTCAGTCCATGGCCTGCTTATATTGCTCTGGGCCTGTGGTGAGGCAGAACATCATGGTGGAGAAAAGTTGCTCACCTCATGGCAGAAAGTAGAGAGACAGATGGGAAGGGGTCAGGCAAGACACACCCTTCAAAGATATGCCCTATCTCCTAATAGCACCCTTATCCAGTAACCCTCAGTAGTGCCACCAGCTGGAGACTAAACCACAATTGTCTGTCTACCCACCCACCCCTCAGCTCCTATCTCTACTGAATGCTTATTATTCTGGTAGGTGCTCTTCTAAGCACTAATTAATATTTGATCTCATCTAGTTCTCGTATCAAGAAAACAATGTTATTAAGCCTGTTCGGCATGTAGGATACAGAAACCCAGAGATGAAGGACCCTGATGAAGAGCAGCTGGAGGCTGCTGCACCCAGGCTCCTGGTCTGACTGCAGAGTCTGTGCCCCTCACAGCCATGTCTTATCCATTTTCATGCTGTCATTTTTCACCACGATGCTCATAGTTCTTCAATGCATGCCATGAGCCATAGCTCCTTCAGTTCCCAAATGGTACTCTTCCCTACTGTTTACATCCAAGCTGTCTGTATGTGCCACTCTGTCTCCTTCCTTCCATTCCCTCATGCACGCTTTAGTGTAGTCTTTACCTGTTACATGCCTGGTCTGTTTCAACTCCTGCTTCTTGTCCCATCCTCTCCCTGTTTGTCTTGAAAGCACAGATGCATTCCTCATCATCACAGATGTGATTACCTCCTCAAATCCCTTCTCTTTGCCTACGGAATGTGGCCTACCCATGCTGTAAGCGAGACTTCAGTCACCTCACCCACATTTCCATCCTCTCCCTCTCCTTCGTGTGCCCTCTTGTCCTTGAGCTGGTGTCCAAAGGAGAAGTTACATAGGTAACAAAGGAAGTCAGAGAGTTCATATGTCAAGGGAATGCACCTGCCGGCCCCCAGGAGATAGTCTCTCCCAGTCGTGAAACAGACCGAGATGAGGAAGACGGCTTCTCACTCTCACTGTCACTGAACAATAAAGGGATGGCGGGAGTCATCCAAATGCCATTTCCAAAGGCAGGTTGGCTTTTAAAAAGACAGTATTATGACCAAAACTTCTAAATAGCTTCTGGAATAGAGTACAGCTCTCAACACACCCTAGAACCTTGGGTGCAGATATGTTGTCTCCAGCCCTGCTTGCCCCTGGCATCAGTGCAGTACTTTACTGAAGGACTCGTCAAACATGTGGTCAATTTGTGGCCAACTTGGATTTGCCATAGGAGATGACCCCATTTGGAAGCATCCTTCTAGGATTTCATCTTTAGGAAATAAGGGGTATTTGTGCTTCAGAAACCTTCCTGTCACAGTTAGAGAATATAAAGAAATGTATGCTTAAAAAGTTTTTTTGTCAATATATGCAAAAATAGAAATACTTCATACAAATCTTCAACCAAGAAAATATTTATACCCTAGGTGAATTTTAAATAGTCCCTAATGTTTCCTCTACTTAAACATAGCATAGGCAGTTTTATACTTTTAAATATTTATTTGTAGTATTTTGAAATACATTAATTATCTTGATACATCGTATCAAGAAAACCTTATTTTTAAATTCTTGGTTAAAATAGTTGGCTAACACTAGATGGCAGTATAAATTT